TTGTTATAAATTAAACTACCCAACAGTAAAGCTTAAACTATTGTCGAAAAAGTCCTTTTTCATGCAGAGATATCCAATGGTTTCACATTTCAGCTTCACAGACGTGGATTTACTGCTTATCCTTTTTGTTATTGGTTGGACAAAGCAAGCATTACGCATGTGTCACTTTGAATTATGGGTAATTGTAACAAATTTTATAAGAAAGAAACATTAAACATCAATTGATTCATTAATATTTAATGAAAACAATCATTAGTTACAGTCCTATACAAAATAGTGGGAAAATAATCCTCCAATTATCACAGTGAAACCCTGCTTCTACATTAATGCATGAGTAATAATAAACCAATGATATAACATATAACAGGGAGCGCTGTATGCTCTGCGGCAGTAGCAGCAGTAGCAGCAGCGGTAGTTTTATAGTTGTGATCCATGTGTCCATATTATTATATATATTATTACAGTGCGCTGTCCATCGCCCCCTGCTGGTCGTCACAACGAACCACTGCACACCCTCCTCTGGCTCGCAGGACGAGTTGTCATGGCAACTGTACAGCATGTGCTTACAAAAACAAGAGCTTGACCGTCCGCCGACAGTTCTCTGCACACTCGACATCTACGACGCCATCTTCTTCCTCCAGCGTTCAGCGGAGAAGAGGACGGGAGGGAAGCCGAAGAGAGTCGACGATGAGCGGAGCCAAAGCCCGCGGCGACGCGCCTGTTGCTGAAAATGTCTCCGGCGGCGGGCACGGCACTGCGGCGGCTCCTCCGCGGGACCGCAAGCCCGGCGGAGGGGTTCTGAAGAGGCTCAAGTCCCGGAGGAGCCAGGTGGACAGCAGGCCCGTCACGGAGGAAGACCTGCGGACACAGAGTGGACACATCACGCCGGAGGATGTGTTGGGACTGCGGGTGGCTACGCGAGGTTTGAGTCTCTCTAATGTGTCTTGCGGACCTGAGGTGCTTGATGTGCTGCTGCCTGTGCTGAATGAAGTATCTGAACATAATGTAACCGAGAGTCCTCCACCTGCAGAATACGTTCAATCTACACATTACATTCAAGGTAGAGCAAGTGACGTCCAGTTGAGCAGGCGTACACGGCTGTCACTGGAAAATGGAGAGTGATATGGTGTTATATCTGTTGTAATTAAATAAGAAGATACATTTGTGACAACGCAAAGCTTTGTTAGAGGTCATTAGACAGTGTTTGTTATTTTTAAACAGAGACACAGAGGAGTTAATAATAGGAGGCGTGTGTGACATACATGTTCTCTGTGGTCACTTTAGTGTTTAATGATAGTTTGGACACATACAACCACATAGTTTCTCTTTCTTTTTACAAACTGTCTGTTTTTGTTCACCGAGAAGAACAATAAGAAACAGTCTTGATAGATATAAATCAAGTAACATAACCAGTATCAATAAGGACAACAAAAACAAACACCAAGCAGTACAAAAAACGGAATAAAAGGCAATAAAAGGTAAAAAAAAAAAAAAAGTTAATAAGCCCGTTAAAGCCAACAGTAAGACCGGAAGTTCCTAATAACCCTATATAATAATAATCCTAAATAACCCACAGCATGCAGTGGATAATCCATAATGTCCTCCAGGATACAGGGTAGAATTCAATAAGACCTGGTGACAAGATATGTATCATGATACAGGGAATATGATTCAATATATTGTGACACTGTGAGCAAGGAGATATATATTGCAACTTTAGGAAAACTAAAATTAGATTTTTAGTATAAATAACACACCACTATATTTATAAAACCTGAGTGAAACAAAAGTGTGTTTTTCTAATGCAAGCAGAACAGATGAATCACCGTGGCTGACACTGAGCTTCATGTGAATAACTATGCTAAGAAGCTACATGGTTCTTCATCAGGACTCATCAGGGATTCCTATCTTTATTCCCCCAACCAATATATGTTTCCCTTTTATGAAGAGCTCCTGAATTCCAGTGATACTGCCAAGTTTCAGTTTTGTCTAATTTGTAAGAATCCTCTGACGTAGGCACGTTATGTTTATTTTTAAGCTCCTCAAAAGATCTGACCCCTCCCTCCTCCACAAGGTCATCAAGAATCTGTTTACCCGAGTCGACCCGTCATTCCCAAAAGAGAGATTTCCCATCTGTCCTCTGTGCTGTCACTTCAGTCGTGCTACTACGTGCTACTCTATGACATCAAACTCTTTTAAGAAATATTCGGATACAAATGACATCACACAGCACTACTGTGACATCACAGGCAGGATCGACGAGGAAGACTCTTTATGGTCTTAATTTAATGACGGTAACGTGGTTGGTCCTCATCAGCGCTGCCTACATTTACAGCTGTTAAGGCAACATGAAATTTAAAAGGGAAAAAAAATGTAGAGATTACATTTAAAGCTTATGAGAGATGTTTTTTCTTTTTTTTTAAAACAGCACACATAGTGGCGTAGACTCTTATCGGCTTCACACGCGCATATTTTCCTGTGTAACACAGTAGTCCAACAGTGATCATAAAGGCTTTGTCTCATCTTATCTTATCTCACTGCATTTTATGGTTGGGGGGGGCAGTGTGTACGTATGTATGCAAAGTTGCATGTGTCTGTGTACAAGCAGAAAGATTTGCATGTTATCTTTGTGCTTGTCAAAGTAGCCTGTTTGTGCTTTCAGGGCGTACACATTCAATGTCCATAACTCGTGTCTGTCATTGTTGCAGGGTACCTCTGTAAACCTGAGGACAATATTTATAACATCGACTTTGTACGCTTTAAGATCAGAGACCTGGAGACCAGCACTGTCCTGTTTGAGATCGCCAAACCCCCACATACAGGTATTGTGCATTAGTCCACTCCTTGTACTGTTGATGCAAATGAGGCTGTTGACTGTAAAGTGTCTGACTTTTGAGCACTTCAAAATGAATGTACTGACCCTGCTGACAACTTACTCTTGTTATTAGCTCAAAATGAATGTCTCAAAGCATGTTGTCAGGCTCAGAAGCATCCGTCGCTGGTTATTTTGATTGAAAATAGTCTTCAGTGTGACCTATTTGAAATGTCTCCATCCCTATGCCGTGGGTCTCAGACGACGATGAGGAGAACAGGGAGGCAGACGCCAGTGCGGGACGATTTGTACGCTACCAGTTCACTCCAGCCTTCCTACGACTGAGGACCGTGGGAGCTACGTGAGTGACTCACACATCGACCAACACACACCTAAGTCACACTCACCTGTTTCATACACAGACAATGGAAACAATTGCAGCATTGTCTCTGTCAGCTATGACTTTGATAACATTATAATAACACAAGAACAGGCCTACTGTTGTAACGTCTCCCATCTCTCTGTATTATCCCATCAGGGTGGAATTCACAGTTGGAAACCGGCCTCTGAACAACTTCCGCATGATCGAGAGGCACTACTTCCGGGATCACCTGCTGAAGAGCTTTGACTTTGACTTTGGCTTCTGTATCCCAAACAGCCGAAACACCTGTGAGCACATCTATGAGTTCCCCCAGCTGTCTGAGAGCCTGGGTGAGTCATCTTCTTCATTATGAGTGAAACCTAAAAAATCCATAAATACATGTTATATAATTTCATGTCAAGATTATATTGAAGTATGTTATATGGTGCGTTTTAGCTCGGAAGAGATTGTGTCACCTTTTCCAGATGTTGCATATCTAGGAGAAGACTGAATTTTGTTTAATGTGATCTGTGTAAATACCAGAAGAACAGATCAGCAGTTCCTACTAATGATGTTTCCCTTTAAAGGGGATTTGTGACTCCTTCCTTGTCATGTGTCACGGTGGAGCACTCAACAAAAGTAAACATTAGGTCACAGTTCAACAGGCATTTTGGTGGTGAGCTCATCATCGTCAGGTGATGGAGGGATATGCAGCCTTACACTAGCCATTCATAATTTTGCTCGACTTAACTGTATTTCTGCCCCCTATTGTGAATGCATGGATTTTTATGACCCTCATTTATATTATATAGGACAGTCTGTCTGTATGTAGATGCTTTCTTGTGTATTCAATAACTCTTGAACACTAAGTGACCACTATACAGTGGATAATCTGATTAGATTTTGGAGCACTTTGCTGGATAAATGTGCAAATTAATGAGTAAAGGCAGTTTTCTAGAAACCACTATAACTTCTCAAAGGATAGGTCCAAAGATAAGAGTATCTTAGTGCAATACCTACCTACCACACATGCGTTGAGAGAGTTATTGGCCACTACAGTTGTTCCTCCACTCCATACTGGCTGTAAAGAGATCCCTTCCTCGCAAGACGATACTGTAAAAATATGGGGAACAAAATCCACAGTCCTTTTGTGTAGAAAGGCCTTCTAAAGTTCTGCTGCAGCTGATATGAGGCTTTAGCAATCTGAGCTAGCCAAGTCAAGGTGGCATCTTCTTCCCCGTTCATCCATCCAAGTTTATTGCCAGAGTTGTTTACCAGCATCAAACCTATATGAAACCACCAATATTTATCCCTCTGCTGCAGTTACAGGCAAGAGGGAATCTCATCCTAAAATATCTCACATTGGAGGAGACCCTCTTGATTTGGCTAACCTAGACTGCTGAAGCCTGATGAGGATTGCATCACGCACAAAAGGAGAATCTTTGCCGATTACTCAGATTATCTTGCCTGAAGGAGCGATGAACCACCTCATCGTGATCTTATGGGGAAGCAGATGTAAACAAAATGTAGAGAGATGTAGTGGAACCACTTGCTGGAGTAATGCTTTGCAGTGAGAAAAAACTAAAGCAGAAGGCGAAACGAACAACACAGGTTTTTTTATTCTCCAGCAAGAACTGGAGGTGAGATTTTAATCCTAATGTTAGCCTCAAGGGCAAAAAAGTTTACTGCTGCTTGGCAACACCTCTTATTCACTTCCATACAGACATAATCATCCAGATTTTACCTCCTAAATATCAAACATGTTTGATTAATTATCACGGGCAGCCCTGATGAGTCTGCGAGCAGGTCTGCAGGTTTAAAACTGGATCTGTAAACCCCTCACATTTTCAGATAATCTGAAACATTCCAACATTCGAAAACTCCTGTAGTCTGAGCCCCGCTTTAGGATGAATTTTAAAATGAAGTGTTTTTGCACAGATCGAGGACTGTGGGTTTTGTCCTCTAATTTTTTTTTACAGTGTACTTACTTTAGGAAGGGATTGTTTCATGGCCAGTACAGTACGAAGAGAAGGAATGATTGCAGCAACCAATATTCCTTTCAATGTGCATAATGTGAGTATCATATTAAGACATACATAAATACATCTGAAACTGGAACTGTGGAAGAACTATGGTCTCATTACTATTTGCTAATGCATTATTTTCCTCATTAACTGCATCCCCAGCGCCACTGGTTGTGTTGTGATGATACAGAGGAACATTAGTGCCACTTGTTTGCAGTGGTGGTCCCAATCAAAGGTCTTCCCAGAGAGCCATTTCAAGATCTTAATCAATAACACTGACCTAATCATTGAAGCTATTTTTAGCTTTTATTCAATAATTTCTAATTGCTTGGATACTTCAAAAAGTCTTTGTTTGGATCAATGACATGCACATGTTGTCTGTTTTGCAGTCCGTCAGATGGTGGAGTGTCCTTATGAGACCCGGTCAGACAGCTTCTATTTCGTCGAGAACAGACTGGTCATGCACAACAAGGCAGACTATGCTTATAATGGAGGACAGTGATATATCCCTGCTAGCATGCCAACACACACACACACACACAAACATAAACATGTGCATGCACACACATCTCCTCACATTTATAGATATACATATACACACATGCATGCATACAGCTGAACATTCATACAGTGCATTCTCTCATACATGCACAAGCAGCTACAGACACAGCTGAATCGCCTCTTATGTTTGTAAAGATGAAGTCATTGCGATCATTTTCAGGGGGTGTATTTGATATTGCAGGAGGTCAATATCAGTTTCTGCTCTGATGTACAAACAGGAAGCTTCTGTTAGAAAATGGTTTAAAACTGGTTCATTTATCCATTTTTAATTATGGAAAAATCTGTTTTAAACCAAAAGAGGACTCATTACTCTAGTGGCCATTAGACACATGTCTTAAACAGACTAAATGGTTATTCAATTGACGGTTAGTCTCCTTTTAGCAATTTTAAAAGTGTCCTACCACCCCCTCGATACACACACACACACATTCACGCACACACATTCAATCCCCAAGTGACACACATAGTGTTTACACAGTGTTTGTCAGAGGCAGCTGCTCTCAGAGCTACCGCCTCCACAATCCACTCCAGACAATATCGGGGGAGAAAGAGAGAAACCATCCACAAAAACACTCCTGTCAAACACACATGGTCACTCCTGTGATCCCCTCCACATCTCCCACCCCTCCTCTCTTGCTTTCATAAACACACAGACACATCAGCAATAGTACTGTATAAGATTTTGATCAAAGGTCTCTTTTTTGTCTGTTGATAGCAACATGGAAATAGGTCAGGTGAAGGTTAACTGCGGTGTAACTGAAACCTTGAACTGTAACCATTCAAAAGACAATAACCTCAAAGTCAAAAAATTTCTCATGAGTTCAGAGAATTATCTGATATCATGATGCATGTAATGATATAAACAAAAAAGGGAAAAGATTTTTTGAGAATTTATCTGGTATTCACTGTGGAAAAAAATGAAAATGGTAAAAGTGTACTTGGTCCACTGAAAAGGTTTAAAGCCACATAAAATATTTGTCCCCTGTTTAATTACCTGTATTTTTTAATAATTTATTTGTCAGATACGTTTCAAAATCAAGTCGGAATATGTCTGGAAATTGAGTGGTCTTTCTTCTAGCTAGATAGTGTACTTCCTCTTTGTACTTTGTAAACTTTGGTGTTCGGGGTTAAAGGTAAAAAAAAAATCTATATGTATAGTTTGTAAAAAGTGATCAATTAAAATAAATGTACATTTTCAGATACAAGACCTGTAAAGTGTGTTTCATTTCTGAGGATGAGAAAAGTTGATGGAAGGAGGAGAAAAGGAACAGTACCAAAAGTGGCCACCAGGAGGAGTCCTTTTATAACTGGGTTATAAATGAGTGCCACTGCTTTCAGTGTAGTTTCATGTTTGATTGTGGAAAAGATCACAGCAGTGGTTTTTATTATTATTCTGGGATTTGTTGACATTCATATCTGGTATTTTCTTAAAACATAAGATGAGGTCATGATCCCTCTTTTCTATGGCTATGGGTTCACTGCAGAGGGGACATAACTCTGATAATATCATTTTAATTCCACATCATTACTTCATCTACAGGCCACATGTGATGAGCTAGCACAGCGCGCAATACATTTTGAAATTTGTTCAGGATTGTTACACTTTGATCATCCGTTTTTTGAGTCTTGTGGGATTTATACCAAAATCTGAGCGTTTCTCTGTTTATTCTTTCTCAGGCTGTTGCTTCCTATCTCTGTGTTCATCTCTTGATCTCTCTCAGCCTTTCTCAGTTTCCAGCTCTCATGCCCAAAATCTCATGGTCTTTTCTCCCTCGCCTCTCCTTTTCTTTTTCTCTCTCCGCACCTATGCAGCTCTCCCTCCCTTGCGCTCCAACTCTGTTTTCCCTTTTCTTTCCTCCTCTCTCACCTGGTAACCAGACCTCTGGAGAGGAGTGTTGAGTTTCCACTTTCCCAGAGAAGAGGACAATCTGAGCCACACAAAGACCCACAATAGACCCCCTCTGCTCTCTCCTCCCTTCACTCTGTCACCGCACAGCTGCACACACACACACAAACATACACTGAATTATAAAAGAATACACTCTATGCTTGTTATTCAGCCTTTTCTATTCACCTCATTTGGTTTCTTTTGTTTTTTATTGTGAGATGCTTTCCTTCATCCTTTCTCCAACTAAATCCTTCTAATTAACTCCTGCTTCAGTTCTGTGTCTCTATACATTTTGGTGTTTTCACTGACACATTCAGTTGTAGGCAGTCAAGTAGTATCAGTTGCCACTTCCTCTTTACCATTACACTCTTAAGAAAGCTGGATTCTCTTTGTTACATTGTTGATTTAATTACTTTAAAATTGGTTTCAGATAATGTTAAAATATTATGGTAATGGCATGCAAACAGAAAGTGGTCACAAGTTTGATATAATTAAAGGTCCAGTGGTAGGATTTAGAGGCATCTAGTGGTGTAGTTTAGAGAGTAGCAGATCGCTACTCCCTCGTTCCACCCTCGCCTTCCCAGCGCGAAGAGAACCTACAGTCGCCACGAAACTCCGCTTTTTAGATCCAGTGTTTGGTTTGGTTCTGCTGGGCTAGAAATCAAGTGTTTTAGTATGTTAGCAAACAATTGCCTATTTATGCATCCAGGCGAGCAGATACGGAGCAGTCCAACATTTACTCTCTGATTTTAGCCTTCACCAACTCCTCATATCTGGCTTAGCTTCAAAATGCTCCATTTTGTTAACACCAGCCAGTTGCTAACTTTATCTGTGAGCCATTTGGTGCTAGGCAGGTACCGTACAGTGATTTTCTGAGAGCTTTTTTAGTTAAAACAGCTGCTTCCTTTGACTGAAAACTACGCTGATGAGACTGAACCAAAACGGTCTGCTGTTCTGCAGAGAGGAACTGCAGGTGTAAATGATCTGTGTGTTTGTTACCATGAGCGACCCCTTTCACATTACACATATTAATTTACATAAAATGGCAAAAAAATATGTATATCTGTTTTTCCCTTCTGGGCTACTGTAGAAACATGGCGGTTCAACATGGCGGACACCATGGAAGGCGATCCCCCAAAACTGAAATACCCCTTTAAAATCCATAAAACAATGGTGTGAAGATCTAATGTCAGTTGCTGATTAGAGCACAAAGAAGGGTGCAATTTAACTGTGAGCTCATAAATCAATGACCACAGCCTTCCATCAGGCTGTAGGGCCTGCACACTGCAGCACACAAGTAAAGCAGCTGTACTACTGACCCACGTGTTGGTATCGTACAAATCTCAATATATCCAGTTTGGGTGTTTACAGTTACAGTGTATGCACATGCATAGACACATCCACAGCAATAAATACACACACTTTCCAACTTTCCAGGGATGATTTGTGTGTTCCCAGGCCTTCGTGGAATACATTTCAGCAGTCAGTCGTGCATCGACACGCACGCACCGGAAACAACTGGACAGGTGGGATAAATCAGTGTCATTTACCCCCTCCCCCTACACGCTCACACACACACACACGCTCACACACACACACGCACACACACCCACACACCTATCTTTGTAACTGGCTTTCCCATATATCCTGTTCAGTGAATCACACCACATTGAGATTAGGAGTGAGAAGCACTGGTTTATTGAGGTTCTCCTGAAACACACACACAGACACACACACAGATCTACACTCAGGCAGGGGGACGGGGGGACAGTGGTCGCCTATAAATAGCAGCTAGGAATGGCGTTGATAGGTCCTGTGAAAAGAAATGGAGGGGGGAGTGGAAAAAGGATTAAAAGAGATACAGGGACGCACTGCAACTCCACTTGTTCGCGTGTGTGTGTGTGTGAGAGAGAGTTTATAGTTTGTGTGTGTGTCTCTAAGACACTTTGGAGAGAGGTGGTATGGATTTCTTGCTACCAACAAAGCTGTCTCTCTCTTGGACGACCACCCTCCCTTAAAAAACCCACCACCCATCCACTCTCTCTCTTAGAGGCACACACTTCCTCATCCTCTCTTTTTTTCTTTCTTTCTCTGTCTTACCCTCCCTTTCTTTCCTGTTTTCTTTCTTTCTCTCATCCTGCTCCGAGGCCCTGGTGTGAAATCCATCATGTGTTAACACTACATTACCCGCAGCACATCTTCCGACAAAGAGATGATGAGTCATGGCACACAGCCATCTCCTTTAGGTCGGCACGACGATGATCTCAAAGATGGTCGTGACTCCATCTGTATGTGTCATGATGTCATTTCTAGCAATTACTTAGTGACATCACCTCACTTCTGAAAAGAGGTCAGAGCAGGCGTGAAGCTGCAACCATAGAGGGTGGTGGATGTAAATATGAATAAATATCAATTTAGAAGTAGAACAAAAGCTTGTTCGTCATCACTTTTACTTTTTAAAACACTCATAGTGTCAACCAAGAAAAATGTATGTGTCACTTTTAAATGAACATCTCATTTTGGATTGAATGGATGCTGTCGTTTAATGTCATGCCATGCAAAGCTTTGCAGATGTGACAACAGATAACAGATAATTAGTTATCTGGGACTTAATAATGCACTCAGTACAACAGTGATGGATAGACAGTCATTTAACAAACTGTGATTCCCATACCAATTTCCATGGTGGCAAGTGCAGTATTGACAATCTGTCTTTAAGTGTTAGGTCTCTGCTGATTTGTAACCAGAAGCCTTTGTGCTGCTTTCGTGTGTGTGTGTTTGGTCCGCCTAACCGTCTGTGTGGTATTACAGTGTAGACCTCCGCCGCTGCTGCTCACAGTCGACAGACAGAAATAGTCCCGTGTCATCAGGGTAAATAGGTTGTGTTCTGTTTGTGCTCGCAGGAAGCCCACAGCCGCCTTTGGAAGCCTTTTCGGAGCCCTCCAGCACCGTCAGTCCAGTTTGTTTTGTGTGTATGTGATTAATAAAAGGTTAACTCAACCCTCAGTCAACTGTTGAAGAGGCCTGTAAATCTCCCCCACAATCTCTTCCTTCCTCTGCCTTTCTCTCCTCCCTTTGTCTCTCTCCCTTTGCCACACCTTCCCCTGGGGGATGGAGGGATTGTGATCGGAGAACGGAGGTGGGGCTCCTGGCGCAACCACAGGTGTGCTTGTTTCCTCCCTTCTCTTCTCTCATGTAATGATTTCTTTGGCTCGCCACCTGCCAGGTGGAAAAAACACCCACAGCAAATGGAGCGTTTCAAAATGGACTCCTGGCTTCCGATTTAAAAGACTTTTTTGCTTGTTCTATAACTCTTTATCCATCAACAAACATTCCATCTGTAATCCTTTTTCATTATCCATTGCCTGCATTTAATTCAATGAGGTCTTCCTGGAACTACTTGTTGCTGGTTTACATTTTGCATCACATGCAAATGTGATGCAAAGACTGATCTAAAGACTGCTGCTGCTTAATACGGCCAACAGAACCAAAGCTACTAGCTTTTCAGATGCTCAAAAGTTGCCTTTTCAACCCTTTTCTCTCGACTCCCCTTCTCAACTCTCTTTTCAAACTGCCTCGAGGGTGGTGGAGAGCAGGTCCCAGGCCCTGGCAGGTCAAAGGTTACACACAGACAATGGGTTCCCACTCTGGGTCAGCTGTGGTCAAGGAAACAAAAGCAGTGAAGACTTGGATTGGACAAACTATGGCAGTGTTTAAAGGTGGCAGATTGACAACAAGACAGAGGGAGGGAGACGGGATAGAGCAAAGGCAGAAAAAGTGCAATGTGAGTGCACTGAAAACCTCTCTCACACACCGACCCACACGCACAATTGTGTCAATTTTGCTTTCAGGCATACTTTACTAGATTAAAAAATCTGAATAACTGTTGCTTAAGCCCCTAAAAAAAGTTAGCCAAAGTTGCTCAAAAGCTAGTCCTCTTCACTCTCTTGCATTTGATTAAATCACTTGCAAAAATTGACCAATTTAAGTATTATAATCAGAAGTGAAGTCAAGTGTTTTTGCTCTATTCTACTCGAATCATTTCACATCGCTCTAACTTGTTCCATCCCCTCCCCCACACCGCAGTCTTTCTCCTCTCTTTTTTATTCAGTGCCATTGATCATGCATGCAGAAATTCAGCACGCCCAACCATGGCTCTAGCCAGGATAGGTTAGCTAGTGCAAGGCCTTGTCCTACATACTGTTCTCTCGCTATGGTCCACCAGGCCACAGTCACACCCTCCCCCTGATCTGCCTCCCCTCTCTGACTCCCCCCCCACTGCCATACACACACACAAACACCCTG